CATTCAGTGGGGCCTTTGGAGGTCATCTACTGGGAGCCCTGTCTGAGGAGATGGGAAACATGGGGGGAGGGGGTACTAGAGATGGTACTCAGGGCATTTGCATTGAGCTACATCCTTAGCCCTTTAAATTTTTTTTTTTTTTTTTTTTTTTTTTTTTTTTTAACATACCCTTAGGTTTAGGGAAAGCTTAGTGGCACAGTACCTGCCTGGCAAACATCAGGTCATGAGTTCAATTCCTGGTGCCAGAAATTTTTTAAAAAGTACCCATGTGGGATGATGCATGTCTGTAATCCTAGTACTCAGGAGGCTGAAGCAGTAAGATTGCTGAAAGTCTGAGGCCATCCTGGGGTACAGTCAGTTCAAAAACAGCCTGAACTCCATATATTTTGAGACAGGGTCTTGCTTTTGCCCAAGTGGGGTAACAGCAACCTGCCATCCTCCTAGAGTACTGGGATTACAGGCATGTGCCATGGAGCCCAGCTGGGAACTCTAGTCCTAAGTGAGTGCTCTGTGGGACTGTAATCCAGCCAGGTGATTGCTGAGTGGGAGCTGCAGAGCAGCTATATGCCCACCATCACCTTGGGGGCGGTTCTGCGCTGCTGAAACTGCTTCTTCATCAGTGAAATCCCTCAGAGGCAGCGGAGAGAACTTAGGAACTAATTTATGACAAGTGCTTTGCCCTCACTCTAGCATAGAAGCATGCAGCATTTCTTTCTTTCTTTCTTTTTTTTTGTATTTTGTATTCTGTGCAGGGTCTCACTACACAGATTGGACTCAGAGTAATCCTCCTGTTTTCAGCCTCCCCAGCGCTGGAATTACAGGCGTGTGCCACCATGCCTGGACTCAGTTGCCAGCTCAGCACACTGGGGGCCGGGGCTGTGTGACATGTCATGTCAGGGATCAAACCCCAGCCGCTGTGCTTGCCTAAGCAGGTGCTTAGTCCACTGGGCTATCTCGCTGGCCCTAGCATTTCGTCTTTTTGAGCAATTTTTTAGTCAGAGTATTCGCCACTGCTAGAACCTGGAGTTGGTTGGCATTCACAGAGCCCTTACTATGTGTTAGGAGGGAACTATGGTGGTGAGTGGGTAAACATCTACAAATAAAAACCTGTCCTTGCCCTTGAACTTTTGGGGAGCTGGCACACTTCCAGCTGGTGTGAGGGGAAATGTGTGTACTGAAGGAGGTGGTAGCCTTTCATCATGTTCTCAACAACAGTATCGACATCCGCTGGGCACTCACTGGAAATGCCATCAGCTCCTCCAGCATCTACGAAATCAGGATCTGCATTTTTGGGGGGCTGAGGGTATGTGAGACAGGATCTCGCTGTGTAACCTAGCCTGGCCTCAAACTCAGAGCGATCTTCCTGCCTCAGTCTCCCAGGGACTATGGGTGATGTCTATGCACATTAAGGTGTGAAAAGCTCTGAGCAGCAGAAGAGTCTAATGTTCTGGGTGAGCTCCCCCCCCCCCTTGCTATGAGACAAGGTCTCACTATGCCATTTAGGCTGGCCTTGAGCTCGCTCTGTAGCCCAGGTGGCCTCAAACGTGCAATGATCCGTCCTCCTGCTTCAGCTTCCCTGAGTGCTAGGATTATAGGTGTGTGCCACCACGCCCAGCAAACATTCTGGATGCTCTTGAGCTGATCTCTAGGGTGCAACTTCCATCTGTAAAGTGAGGCAGTTGGACTAATTCATTACTTTTCAAGCCTGTCACTAGACCACTCCCACACACCTTTTGTCTCAATGCTAGGATGCTATCATACTGACTACAAATCTTCCATCCTTTTTCTCTCTTCCTTCCTTCTTTCCCTCCTGCCTCTCTTTTTTCTCTCCTGCCTCCCTAAGGTGCTGAGGATTGAACTCAGCAATTCATGGACCTTGCCTGTAATAATAATCAGACTACTACTGAGCTACATCCCCAGCCTTACAGTTATTTTCTTTATATCACCCTACTTTGTCATCGGTATCTGAGAAAATTTTTTTCCCTTTTTTTTAAAAAAATTTTTTTATTTATTTTATTTATTTATTTTTGTATTTAGTACAGGTAGGATCTCTCACTACACAGATCTCTCCTGTTTTCAGCCTCCCAAATGCTGAGATTACATGTGCATGCCACCATACCCAGTCTCACAGATTTTTTTTTTTTTGTACTGGAAATCAAATTTAGGACCTTGCACTGCCAGGCAGGTGCTGTGCTAAGCTATATCCCCTCCTTTAGAAATAATATTTTACTTTGCCATTGTTATTTTTGTGGTGGTAGGAATGGAACCCAGAGCCTCACATGCTAGGCAAGCATTGTTCCATTGAGCTATACCCATCTCTAGACCACTTATTTTTCCACATATTTAGGGAAAGATGTGATTTTTGAAGAATGTTCATCTCATCACCACCAAAGTCCTGCCATGGTCCTTCTAGGAGGGCATGAGGCTTTCTTCTCTTAGCATCTGGTGCTTCTCTTTAGAAGCTTATATCAAAAAAACAACAGGGGCCGGGGAGATGGCTCAGTGGAATAAGTGCTTCCCTGGCAAGGGCAAGGGCAAGGGCCTGAGTTCAATCCCTGGTTCCGCAAAAAAAACCAACAAAAGCTGGGCATGATGGTGCACACCTATAATCCCAGCACTGGAAGGTTGAGGTAAGAGGACTGTTTCAAGTTCCAGGCCAGCTAGTGCTACATAGTAAGTTCAAGGCAAGCCTGAACTACAGAGTAAGACCCTGTTTCAAAAAAAAAGCCTGTGTGTGTGTGTGTGTGTGTGTGTGTGTATGTGTGTGTGTGAGAGAGATATGCCTGCCTTAGCCCCAAGTGACAGCCACATCTCTCTCTCTCTCTCTCTCCAGTCCCCTTGGTGCGACACATGGAGTCTCGGATTATGATCCCTTTGAAGATTTCGCCTCTTCAGTGATGATGCTGCTACCTCTTACCTCTTTCCCCTTCACTCTCAGGGCAGCCTGGGACAGAGGAGCTTCTGGTCCTGCTGTCTTGCTTTTCTCTAGGCTCTGGGAGGACTCTTGACAGGTAGAGCTCAGCTCAGACAAATAGGACAAGGTTCTGAGGAGTTATAGTTCTGTCCAGGTACTTCCTGCCTTCCTTGCCCACCTCCTTCCTTCTGCTGGAAGTAGTTTCTAAGTTCTCTAAGCAAAAATTTTAGGTCTTCTCACATTTCCCCCTTGAGATTCCTCACCTCAAGGCCTCCTGTTCCCAGCTATCACTGTGGAAATCCTTGGTTTAGCTAAATTGCAGAAAAGATAGAATAACCAGTGGTTAGAAAGGAGGAAGTCAGACCAGGTCTGACCCTCAAGAATTCCGTCCCCACTGGGTCACCCACTTGCTGGACAAGTAAATCTGAGCCACATTCCTCCTGCTGGGGAAAAGCTTAGAACTGCCATGAACTTTCAGCTGTCAGGAAGAGACGCAGAATTCTACGCAGGGAGGTGAGAGAATAGGAGTGTTTGAGAGCAGGAAAGATACGGAACAGAAACCCAGAAGGCACTACATAGAATTCAGAACTTGGGATATGAATTGCAGGCTTTGGAATACAGAATTGGGAAATAAATAGAACAGAGATGACAGAAGACCCCTGGGGGTGGGGGGAACTAAATACTAAACAAATGGAGAGAAACTGGTTTCCTTTTACATGAGGTTCAAATTAGAGTATGTAGTTCTGGCCTTTTATCTGCCCCTTCTTCCTGCAGGCAAGACCACAGGCCAAGGCCTATAATTTCATCATACTGCATTTCCTCTTCTCTGCCTGACATTTCATCAATCCAACCCTCAAATTTTCCAGAGCCATCAGATCTGTGGAACAGGTTCAGTGACTCTAGGGACCTCCTCAGTAATCCCCCCAATACCTCATAAACCCCTAGGTAGCTTGATTTTTTTGCCTCCCTACCAGGAAAACGTGCTAGAGTTGCTGATGGAACCAATTAAATATTTACTCTAAGCTGCAGTGTCATTTCTTATCTGCAAAGAACTTCAGCAGGTACCCAGGGCAGGGCAAGGCAGAGCCTGGCTGATCTGCCCTGCTGGAAGGTACTGTATTCCTAGGCTACTCTAAGGGAAAGAATTTTCACTGTCACACTAGGGCATAAGGATCTAACTTCATAAATAGGTATTCATAACAGGAGTGTTTCTTCTTTGTCTTTTTTAAGGTAGTGTCTATGTAGTTCAGGATGGTCTCCAACCTGAAATAATTCTCCTGCCTCAGCCTCCCAAGTGCTGGGATTACAGGTGTCCTCAACCATGCCCAGCGTGAACAGGAGTGTTTCTACCTTGAGATAAGGGGAATTTTACACCAAAAATCCTTGGCTCTGTCTTACAATTCAATCCAGTAGTAGGAAACGCTGAAGCTTTCTAATCCTGCATTCAAAGCTGGGCATGGTACCACATTCCTGTAATTCCAGTACTCTGGGAGACAGAGACACAAGGACTGTAAATTCCAGCCCTGCCTGAGCAACTTAGCACTTAGAACACGTCTCAAAATAAAAATGCCTGAGGATATACCTCAGTGTGAAGGCCCTAGGTTCACTCTCCAATAATTAATATTGCCTCGGCTTTCCGAGTAACTACCTTTTTTAATTTTTTTCTTTGATACCGGGGATCGAACTCGGGAGCAAGCGTTTAAGGCAAGGTCTCATTATGCAATTCAGGCTGCCCTTGAGCTCCCTTTGTAGCCCAGGCTGGTCTACGAACTCTCAACAATCCTTTTGCCTCAGCCTCTTGAGAGCTGGGATTCCAGGTGTGCGCCACCACACCCAGCCTCTGAGTAGCTACAATCTTAAACGTACCACAAACTCATTCATTGAACAAATCAGCAGTGTCCATTAACTTCTGGGCTCAGCGGTATGCGCTGATAAAAGCTTTGTCCTTAAACCCCATTTCCCGGTTTTTAGGGCACCCGTGAAGCCGCTCCCTAATGGGAGCCCGCTGCTTTTGTGTTTCCCACAACGCCTTGCGGTTCTCGCGAGATAAAGCGCCCCGGCCTCCCTCCAGGCTTCCGTACCTCATTTCCGGCCAGCCGCTCCTTCCTTCTGTGTCTCTGTGGTACTTGCTGCGTGGTTCCCACACTGCCGGAAGTAGTTCGCTGGGTCGGATTAGTACGTCGAGCAGTGAGTGAGGCTGAGGTGAGGTTGAAAGGGAAGTAGGGCGGCAGGGCACTGGGCAGGGACCTCCTGGACAACCCAAAGGAAAGGTTGCACGTTCATTTCACAGTGCGGATACCTGTGAGGGAGCGTAGTGCTGTTTTCTGATCAGGAATATTTTCCTTACGATATCTTGTCCCATTTTGCAGCCTTCTGATGACAGTGGGAACAGCTCTGTGTGTGTGTGTGTGTGTGTGTGTGTGTGTGTGTGTGTGTGTGTTACTAAGGATCGAACCCAGGGTCCCTTTTTAGTTTTTATTTTGAGACGTATCTCACCAAACTTGTGGTCCTCCTGCCTCAGCCTCCTTAATAGAATTACTGGCATGTGCCAATATACTCAGTGCGTTCTATGTTCATTGTACATTTATGGTAGGCAGGCACCCTATCTTGCCAAAGTTGGGATTTCTCACACTTAAGACTTTTGAGTCCCACCTTTGGGGATTTTGTTTAATCAGTTTATTAGCTTCCCAGTACTTCTCAGAAACCCTACTAAAGGTTTTTAAACCAGTCGCTGTATTTTGGACGAGGTTGCTGGAGACTGAATCCAGGAGTACTGATGCTCTACCATTGAGCTACGCTGTCTGCCTGCCTGCGTGCTCGCTCGCTCGCTCGCTCTCTCTCTCTCTCTCTCTCTCTCTGACGGGAACTGAGTTTTTTTTTTTTTTTTTTTTTAATCTATTTTGTGGAACCGGGGATTGAACTCAGGCCCTCGAGCTTGCCAGAGAAGCACTTATTCCACTGAGCCATCTCCCCAGCCCAATGAGATGTTATTGAGGTCATCAGAAGTTTAAAAAAAGAATTGAATCGCCTTAGGTGTCCAGCATTATGTAAGACCACCATTCATGTACCATCTAAAGCCCCATCCTAGATCATGTCCATCACCTTGTTCAGTGGGTGTGTTAATGCCCCTGACAACCCTTGAAGTATAGACTCACTTGATTTGTGAGGAAAGTAGATCAAGAGAAAGGTGACGTGACTTGTCCCAAAACTCAGAGCCATAAAACAGTAAACTAGAGATTCTGACGCTGCCACTACCGTTGTTGACTTACTTAGTTAGTGCTGGCAAAAGATGAATTAGGTAAGGAAACAGGGAATTTGGATTTCTTTCAGTGCATTGTGAAGAGTGGTAAAGATTTAAAAACAGGAATTGGGGGCCGGGGAGAT